GACAGGCGACCTGGCCCAGGACCACTGGCTTGTGCTTGGATCCCCTGCGGATTACACGGCTTCTGTGCTCTCCTCTTGGTCTTTTATTTCTTCAACAGCTCAGAAGTTGGTGCTCCGCGGGCCCTCAAGAAAGACGACATCAAGAAGGAATCCACTGAAACCACGAAAAACCTCGGAGGCACCTCTTCCGGCTCTGACTTTGAACATACACCCAATCGCTAGCAAGAGGACTAGCTCCAGCACCCAGAACTGCTCACTTGGCTGTAAGTCCCTTCGAAATTGAACACTTCCCAGGCCTGCATGGTGAAGCACGAATGACCAAAACGAACACCCAAATCGAAGCTCAAGTGGAATGACCGAGATCTGAACCTGTTGGCAAAGGTGGCAATCGACATCAGCGACATTTCAACCTGTCTTCAATGAAGTCTTCAAGCAAGCACCAGAGGCGATGCAGTTTGAGAGACTTGTCTCTTGCACCGAGACCGCGCGGCTGCACCGAGACCGCGCGTGTCAAAAACTCTTCGACTCCGTCCGTGGATCCGGCACCGGCCATGGGACCGAAATCATGTTGTCGAAGACCCCAGGGCCAAAGGCCGAAACCATGGCTCCACCCATTTGCTCGTGGATTCCAAAAAAAGCAGCGAACGGAGACATCGACCAGTCGTGGGTCGCGGCTTTTTGGAAGGAATTCAAACTGGGCTTGCACCCTGGTACTCAAGAAGACAGTTGTGGTGCAAAACGCGAGCAGACCCTTCTCTGGAGAGAACAGATGCTTAGATGCTCCACGATCGTGAGGAGGATTCCACACTCGATTATGGAGAACGAGTCGTGCTCAAAATGGCCCACATCACGCTGCGACTGTGGTCGAATCTAGGTTCCGGACATCACTATAACTTGTTGCCCCAAACCGGCCGTTTCAGAGGGAGAAAGACATTTCAACTCCGTCTGGGCGGATCAGGGGCCAATTTTCAGCGCTGGGAGCGCGTTCCATCCGAGACCGCCGTTTTTTCGGAAGAGGTTCCATTTGAGAAGTTGGGGGGGTACAGCACCAGACGCAAGTCTGAACGCATCAGAGAGGTACACTCCCTGAGGGTTCCAGAGGTGCTCTCATCTTCTCCAGTCATCTGGTCCATTCTGGTCCCAAAGAGCCGTTGGGGCCGACAGGTCGCCCAGAAACTGCAAATCTGCAGATACATTAGGAAAACCGGTTCAGCAGATACCAAAAAGCTTCATGTTCTGCCATGAACTTCAACTTAAACGCAGCAAAAAAGGCTGGTTCAGGCTGGGATTTTTTGAAAACCGCAACACGGCAATCACTCCTGTTGGCAGGGTCAACTGCTTGGGCGGTGTGCAAATGGCGGTGCAAATGGTGCGCAACGCTGCACCCAAACCGCTCCCTGGCGCCCAAGACTAGACGACTCAGCTTGCGTCCACAGCGCGGGAAGTCAAATCTGGTACACTGAATCATGGTGTGATCCTCCATCAAACATATGTTTTTCCCACTCAGTGAAGCAAGTTTCAGCATGGCGCTACTTCAATTTTCTTAAACTTGAGCCCAGTGCTGGATCATTCTATGTGAGATAGGTACGGCCTGGAGCCTTTTAATTTTGAGCGTCTTTGCCTATGCGGGAGCCCTGAAAAATGTGGAGTTCCACTTTCATCGACCCCTTCGCGGCATTCACGAGAAGGCGCTTCTCCGCTGGGATCTGGGGCCAAGGCTGGATGCGGCGGGTCTTCAAGAGGTTCAAGAAGACTGCAGCCAAAGCTGCCACCAGTCGACCTACATGTCAGGCCGAAACATCTTGTTCATTTCGACTGGACCCGCTGGATCTTAAGACCCCACCCACTCAGGGACACCCAGCCAAGTGACGAGCACTCACGTCAGACCCGGCGAAGCGGCGCTGCAAGCTGGGCAGTATTTCAAACCGAATCCCTTTCGAGGAACGGGATCAGCGAAGATCAGCAAAGCTTTAGTAACAAGAGTAGCAAGGATGCTACTAGTAGCAAGGACGCTACTAGTAGTTATCTTTCTACTAGTAGTAATGCACTTGTTACTAGTAGCGATGCACTTTGTTGAGCATCCCTCTCTCTTTGAATCGACTAAGCCGTGTCCGACTGCTCACACGGAACACTTCTCCACGTCAGCCTTCAAAGTTCTCATATGTCCACTTCCTGTTCACATGGAGCACTTCTCCGTTTCGGCCTTCACAGTTCTCCATATTTGCTACTACTGCAAGATCTGCACCAAGGCTGATTCGCTCAGGCTCACGCCCGAAAACTGCATTACAACCACCCGAAAACGCCCGCAGTCCCACAGTGGTGCTCTTGTCCTACCCTCAGTGGTTGGGCATCCTTCGCCCCCTAACCCGGGCGAACGAAGCAAGTGAGTTGGTGTTGCTACACGCTCTGCTCAGCAGAGTGAATCTGCTCCCACCCCCCTCAATCCAGGTCTGCTCCCCCAAGGCCGGGGATCCAAGCTGACTAACCGACTAAGCAAAACAAACAGGAAGCAAACCTGCAAGGAAATGCTGGGAAATCGTTCGAGTCGTTCCTGCGAATTCACATGTGTCAGCGATTCAATGGGCATCCTGCACGCTGTGCTGTCCTGAGGGGCATCCTGCAGCTGCCGAGCCATGAATGAGGTGAAGAGTCATACTAGTCACGAACATGTTGGATGAAGTTTGGATCAGCGCAGCCCGAGCTCGAGCGAATTTCATCTGTCAAACGATCCATGTTTCTTCTTTGGTGCCGAGAAAAACATGAAAAAATCATCCCAGCACCACCAGCGCAGGGCTCACAACCAACTCTTCCCCTCTCGCGCGCGGCCAGCAGTGTGGTGGACGTCGCGCCGAGTGGTGAGGAGGAAGCGTCAATTGGTTTGGACTGGTCAGCTACATTGATCTAACTGGCCTCACTCTTGAAGCAAGCAAAGGAAGGAAATGCGCAGGGATCTATTTTCATGTTTGGCATACCTTTCTAGTGAGTCCCACCTTTGGTCGCAAATATTTTTTACCCATGCCATTCAACTGATATTCCCAAAGCCCTCTGCTGCGGAACAAGCAAGTGCTTTGTAGGAGGAAAAACAACATCCATTTACAGGTGCATTATCCAATGGTATATTTAAACTATTTATCTAAACGGTTCAGATTGGTTCAGTGTGTCATGAATCACAAGGGGACTAAAGATACTAAAGAATAACTACAGAATGCCGGCGCTCGATGCCGACTTACAGTGAGCTTAAAGCTCCACGAGTCCTTTCAAGGGCCGTTCTGGCCTTCCACGGCCCATCAGGTCAAGTCTGAACCTTGGACAATGGGCGCGTTAAGAAGTTTTTGGCCCACTGTGGCCTTTTGTGCCCTCCTTTTTGCCCCTTCCCATCACTTTTCTTGAGCATAAAAAGAGCCTCTCAAGTCTCAAGTGGTTCGTGGGCCACAAACCAAAAGGAACATCGTCTCCGAAACAAGCAAGAGCCACTTTACAGCTTAAGTGCTTAAGGCATCAAATTGCCCGACCTCCTTTCTCGGAGGCTTCGCCGGCCATGGCCGCCATCGCCTCGTCCGAATCTCCTTTTCCACTGGCTACTAGGGGCGGCACCAACTTCGGCAGTCTTTCAATCTGCGCTTCCAAGAAAGCAGCATAAAGCAGCTGTCTGGTCGAGGATGTTCGATTTCACATCCCAAGTCATCCAAAACGACCCATCCGATGCGACCCGAAAAGCACACACGACGGGGCTCCGGAAACGACCCGGTCACCGGACGCCCGGTCCCATGGCGGTGGCCTTTTCGTTCGTTCCACCGCTGCGTCGAAGCGACGTCGATCCTCGGCCGGTGGTTCAGTCCGTCAGACGACTGGGTCGACCAAGACACAGCATGTCTGACGTGATCGAAGCTGGGTCTGCCAAAACACCTTCAAGATGGTCCGCAGCCTTCGGTTTCGGTCAAGAACGGTCAAGTTTCGAGGCGATGCCTGTCCACTTGTCCGATTCGAGGAACGGGAACAGCCATTCATATCCATGTATACTCATTTATGGACCTATGGAGGTGCATAAAGCCTTGGGGGGGGGAACGTGTTCAGAAGGATGTTTTTGGTGGGATGTTCGATGTTCGGGGAAGCAAACTCATACAGACCCGGCGAAAACGGGACCCGGGCGAAGACGGGACGCGGATCGCTGTGATGCGCGAGTTCGCACGCCTGAACGCCCGCCCCTTATGGTTTGGTGGAAACTATCGACGACTGGTGAATGGATGGGGCGCAGTACACTGTACAATCCGCATGTCCGGAGTGTAGGTCGGAAGATATGCGAACTGGTTGTGAATGAATTGAATTGCAACCAAAGGGTATGACAATGGTTGTTCATTCTTATGCGGACAACGACCAGGTTAACCGACAATGCTCCGAACTAAAGCCAGTCCTTTGGGAGCCCCTGGCCTCGTTCCACAAGGGATTCATCTTGGCCTGATGTGAGAAGATAAGAACTCTGCTCTTCCGGCCCGTTCAAAGCATGGGACTCGGACTGGGTCCTTGTTAGCTCTGGCTGGAGTTGCGTGGGGTCAAATCAAGTCGTTTGAAGCTTTGACTCTGTTCTACAGAGAGGTGTCCTCGCGTTCAGCAAACCAGTCAGGTTTACTGTTGCTCGGAAGGCTAAGAGGTCTTGCTTCAAGAATTGCCCGAAGTGGAAGACTTTACCAAAAGCGTCGATAGCTGATGGTCTGAAGATTCTGTGAACTTTCGCAAAACATACCACTGCAATGGAACCGTGCAACCCAAAGGTTGCATAAACACGACCAAAAAGGGATGTGACAGCCCTTTCACGCCTTTCACAAATCCTTAAGCTGCCTTTCTTCAATCCTTCAGTCCGAACCGCTCCTGTCGAGGCGAATCCGTTTGGGTTTGACACGGTCGGCCCTGTTCTGCTTGAACCCATGCGAAGTACAGCCCGCCAATTAGCACCTTGGATGAAGGCAGCTGGCTTCGCCTCTGATCATGCGTTTCGCTGCATTTCACACAGAGCTGGGGAGCTGGATGATTGGGTTGAATCCTTTCGGACAACAAAATTGTAGACCATTGTAGACATTTATGTAGACCATGAAGTCTTCAGAGGTCTTCCGACATCTCAAAAGCCCAACCTCACAAGACCTGGTCGTCTCATTCGTCTCATTGAGCCCATCACGCACCTTCGGCTTCCATTCTCGGACTAACTGTTGACTAACCGTTGGCCTTTTCGGCTCCCAGTCCCCAGCTCGAGCGCCCTGGGCTCCGGTCGGCTGACAGCCAAAACACCCGCTCTCGAGCCGTTGGCGCATGGGGGCTTGGCGAAGACATGAGGCGACTTCGTTGTTTGTCCGAAAGCTCAAGCCTTTGAGCTTTGACATTGGCTAGCGTTGGTGGTACACCAATGCAGAACTTGGGCTTTCATTTATGTTGTTGGGTCAATCAATGGCACAAAATGGGGGTGTCATTCAGGTTCTGAAAAGAGAATGCGACGGGGAGTGCCTCTGGACAGCTACGCCACGAACCTTGTTTAGAATGCGTGGAAGGTTCTACGAAGTTCTGAGATATTACGCCACCACTGAGACAAAGCTGGCACGGGGGAATATTTTAGTTGAACTTTTAGTTGAAGCGGTTACCTGACGTATATAATTCAAAAGAAGTTGAAACTGGTCAAGACCCTGAAACAAAGACGAGGGCTTTCCAAGGTCGGTAACCCTCACCTCAAGGACCTTCCCAATCCACACGTGGTCTTGGAAAATGAAGCCAGCAAGCGTTGGATCGAGGTTCAAAACGTTCAAAAGCAGGGAAGGCCAGGCATTGCTCTGGCAAAAACCAGGTAGATGTGCTTCAAACCCTTCAAAACCCAGGTCCATCTTCAACCTAGACGACGTGGAGCGAATCCATGGAGGTCACCACATGCGGTGGATTCGATGCAATGACGCTTTTGTCGTTCGAACGAAACGACGGACGCCAGGTCCAAAAGACAAACGGGAAAAGAGGGCGGGCGGAAGGGGGCATGAGAGTAAGTCTACGGGGTGCTTGGTCCTGCTTCGTGCTCTATGAGAATTCTAGATATTTTGGAAGGATTCTTGAAGGATGAGACATGCGGTCAGCTTGGCACTGATCACCAGGTTATCACCTGCTACCAACCTGCTAGCAGTCTTCTTCCCGACTCAAGGAAGACCTGGACAAATGCCAGGGTACCAAGCACAGCCAGCCCAGACCAATGCTCTTCGTCTCAACGAATGCCTTCACTGTGACGGTCTTGCACCTCACAAGGGCTTTAGAGGCCATCGCACAAGCGCAGTTCTCCATTAGTTCTCCCGTGAAGACCGGCAACAGAAGACAACCAGAAGAGCGAGTGCGCACAGGCACAGCCGGCACAGCTTCATTCAAGCGCTTTCACCAATCTGGGCCTTCTTTCTCGTTCAGCCATGTCCCACATGTGACACCCAGTTGCTACATGAGATGGACTCCAATCTTCGGCGCCCAAACCGCGTCCGGAGCAACCAGGAGCAGTTCGCGATGGCACTGGATTTGAGGCTTCGTTCCAAACTGTCAGAGGTGCGAAAAACACCGAGGGCACACAAGAAAAAAAACACAAATCTGAAAGCACGCAAAAGAGCACCTGAGAATCACCTGAGAATCGAAAGCGCGCAAAAGTTTCGTGTAGTTCTTTGCCCACCCAGCTGGCAACCGTGTCAAATGCGGTGCTAACTGCACGGCGCCACCAGCACTGGCAGAAAGCTCCTCACGCAACTCGCCCGAGTCTCAACTGTTGCAGGGCCTTGGATCTCAATCCCCTGCAGTGCCTGTGCTTCAACTCTCAGCTGGGACCCAAAAATATGAGCATTGTTTAAAAATCGATCGAGAATTTGTTCTAAGTCTAATGAGTCTAATGGACTCTTCTTTCACATAGTTCTTTCGCAACACTCTCCCGGCTTGCGCTTCGGCTTTCGCACGCGAAACCACTTTGGCAAGCAAAACCCGCAAAGAGGGCTGTTCTACATGAAGCATGGGATGTTTTACTCACATGCACGTCATTCCATCCTTCGGATATCAAAAAAAGAAGCTTTCCCAAGCTTTCGTGCTTGAAAAGTGCGTTTACCTTTCGCAACCGTGTGTTTGCCCTTCGCGATATTACATTACATTCACATCTCTTCAAGTTGTTACTCGGGAGAATTTGGTCACTTCTCATATCGAGTTCGATGCGTCGTGGTAAGTTCCGGGAGGTTGGGGCATCCAAAGGCTTTGCCCAGAAAACAAGGGCAAGGCATATGATCCCGTCAAAGCAGTTGGGGATCCTCTTCCGCTTGGCTCAAGGCTCGAAGAGGAAAGCGCACAAAAAAGGCCTCGTCAGGAGAGTTTCACCGGACCAAGCATGCCGCGGTTGGGAGCAATGCGGAGGGTATGCGCACCCTCGGTGTCATAGCAACACAGCTTGTGAAGCAAAGCCGAAGAAGGTGGAAAATGTGTAGAACAAAGTTGCCAAGAATAGAAGTCATGAGTCATGCTTTCAAAGAATAATATGCTGCTGGAATGTCAACATATCAAAAACCGATAACTCAATCAACAAGTCTGAAACTGTTACTCACTTCTGCCATCATGTGGTATATTTGTCAGAGTGAAATGGCCGCTGACATGCATAACATGCATGTGTTCGTAACTTCATCACAGTGCACTGGGACCGGCGGATCTCTTTGCACAATTTATCCCAAGGAATGAACCTACTAGCAAAGGCCTCCAACCTAAGAGCGATAGCCTCCACCACACAAGAAGCCTGTGATGTGCTTGGCCTATAAGTTGGAGACCCAGGTCCTTTGGAACATCGATGCAGGATGGAACGCTTTATATAGATGTCTGATGTGAACTATCATTCGGGACCTTTGCGCTGTTCTTCTTCCCCGGTAGCGAAGCTTTGGAGTCTTTAGCCATAGTAAACGCTTCGGATCAGGTTGCGGAGCAGGTTCCGGAGCAGGTTTCCGGAGCAGGCTTGTGACTGAAGAACTTTTGCCATGTTTGATTTTAGATTAGGAGCGTTCATCCCCGACTACGGTCACTATCCTTCATGCGGCTCAAGCACTAAGCAGTTCAGGCCGCAAAGCAGGCGGAGGCTTTGCTGGAGGTGCTGGCAGGTGGTGATGTACTAGAATCTAGAAGTTACCATCAGCTGCACATGGTCGGCAAACAAAGGAGCGAGTGCGAAAGAGAGAGTTTGAAGATTCAATATGTTCAATCACTGTCCAGCATGGATTGACTTGGCTGAATGTGAGAAACTCATGACTTCAGCATTGCCAAACACGGCCGGGAAACTACTATATGCCAAACACTTGCATTCAGCCAGTTGTTTCCATTTTGGTCTTGTGCGACCTGGCTTTCACAGCCGGAAGAAGGACTGTGAAAGCAAAGCAGATCAGCCGTGCTTTGCTTTGCTGAACTTCTTGTTAGAGTGGTGTCCCTTCGCCGCAGAATTACCATGTGCTTTTGTGGAGAGAGGGTCCACTTCATATTCACCGTGGATTCCCGCTGAGCCGAGAAGTTGCGGGCCAGAGGCTTCAGCCATTGGCCACCAGAAACTCACCTCATATGTCAATGGTACGTCTACACATCAGCCACTGCCTTTGCCGCGGAACATCCACATGTTTCGGGGAAAAGAATGCCGACGATCGTCGGGGCACCCGGGCCTGGCCTGATTGACCGCGGATGGACCGGAGGACCAAAGCACCGAAGAAACCACATGGTTTTGGGATGGATTGATGGTTTTACATGTTTTTTCACGTTCTAAAGTTGGTTTAAAATAACCATGGCTGGGCAGAAGAGGTGTGGCTCCGACAATAGTATATATATATATTATATATAGTATTAAAAATATATATATATATATTATAAAGAATCTCTGCCTCCCCTAGTTCCAGTGAGCAAATTCAAGGATTCATTCTACAGCTAGGACGTGCCCTTTTTGCGTTGCTGAGGCCCAGTGTTCCGTGTTCGTTGCTGCGGAGGGAACTCGGAGTAAGATTGACTGATGGGCAGAAACCGCTATGGCTGCAGGGCTTTCGTTTCTCGACCTCCATAACCTCGTTTCATCGCTACTGAGGAAGTTGCGCAGATTGTGCCTTTGCGCTTTGCAATTGAACACCCCTCAGTTTCTGTCACGCATTGCGGTCCCTTCATTCTGGCTTGACAAGTTGAAAGGAGGTCACTGTTTAGATCATTTGTCTCAAGACTGACTGATCAGTTGAAATTTGCCCGCAAAAAAATATCGATGAAACAAACTAACAAACAAACAAACAAACCAACCAATCGATCAAGCAAGCAAGCAACTGCCAAACAATAGGTCCACATTTGGGATAGCTGGATAGCTTGTTGGAAAAGGTGCTGACGCGTTCACTCTCCGATAACAAACCAACCAAAAGCACACTCTTGTTCATTCTCAGCAAGACCATGACACATCAGGCTTGGCCTTTCAAAGAAAAAGAGTCTACCGTCTACGATACGCCCAAGTCTCGCGAGCCAAACACGTAGCAAAACAAGACTATACTTGCTATTCTAGCTACAGTAACACGCTCAAATTTCAGCACTGTAGCAAGCTAGCCCCAGTGCCACTGTGGTACCATTCGGAACAGCCGTGGCCACAGGAGAAAAGCCTGCTAGGTAGCGTCCTTGCTACGTTCGTAGTAATGCCCTTGTTAGAAAACTAGCGATGCCCTTGTTACTACTAGCTTCTAGCCGCTACTAGTAGCGATGCACTTGTTCCGTTCGTAGCGTCCTTGCTACTTAAAATTATTATCATGTTTCGTCCGTGAGACCCGTGAGACCGAGACTAAGTGACTCTCACTACACCCAGTCAAGTCACCTGCACCCTACATCTACCTCGCAGACAGAGTGCGAGTCTTCAGTCTTCGCAAGAACAGATTGTGAATCCTGCTCCGAATTACAAACGCAACCTAATCGCCGACCTGAACACGCACCAGAATGCTGCCGCAAAACGCCACACGCTTTTCGCTCGCAGCTTGTGTGTGTGTGTGTCTCACCAGCGGAAGGACTCGCTCGTGCCACAAAGCTTGCTTCTCAAGGGAAACCAACGAACGATTGGTGTGCCAGTTGGTCCGCAGGTTGGATGTTGAAATGGCCACACCCGTGCTGTGTCATTTCACGCACAGCAGGCACAGCGCAGCAGAAGCATCGACATGCGCACTGACTTGACACCATCGACCTGCGCCCGACGCCAGCGGCGTCCGGTCCACTGCACCAGGACGTCGTCTTCGGTCAGAGGCGACTAGACCCTAAGACCTGGTCAAGGCGCTGTGGGTCTGGGAAGCGCGCCATTCGCAGTCGGGCGACGACGACCGGGCAGGGGGGGGGGTGATTAAAGTAAGAATGCTGACTCTTGTGTCTTGTTAGGGGTGCACGAAGCATATTACGCTCAAGATACTTCTGGGAGGAATTTCAGAGCCCTGTTTGCTGTTAAGACCCCCAGGGCAGCTGAGACCAAGCTAGACGAGTTCTTAGGCGCGGCAAGGCAAGTCACGGTAGTCAGGGTAGTCAAGTTGATGTGCTAAAGGCCTCAGCACCTAATCGATTCCAACGGGGCCGCAAGCTCAGGGCCGCCACATCGGCGCGGAGCCGCCACCTTCGGAGCGCTCCGAGGTCCGTCGCGGAGCGTCGTTCCAGATCCTTTGGACGTCGTGACGTTGGGCATCATCACGAACTCTCCGTCATCCATGCATCGTTCAAGTACAAGCCTCATCGGATGACGGTGGACCTTCCACAAGAACGTGGGTCCAAACCAGACAACCATGGCATCGCTGCCCGGAAACCAGAGACGCTGGAGAAGGCGAGGTTCGTCAAGCGCAAGTCAGGCAAAGACCCC